CTGATAAAAAGTATGATGCTTTTGGGGCAAAATTTGACTCTATAGTGAAAAATGAACTCTTGGTTGCCTGAAACAAGCTGCTTATTGAAGGAAGCCCAAGTAAGGGAGAAGAATGGAAATGTAGCAGGTGAGCTGAACCTGAGAAAAAGATCTTTAAATAGATAATCTAGGAAGAAGAAAGGTAAATTTTGGGCAATAGTTTTAAATGTCCATCTTTTATTATCTTTCATGAAAAAATGGGGCTCAGAGAGGTAGTACGAGTGGTAAGACATTTGATTTTCATGTAGCCAACCCCAGTTCAATCCCTGGCACCACATTTTGACTATTAGAGGTCTCTCCTGAGCACACAGCTAGAAAATAGCCCCAAAGCACCACTGGTTGTAGATCTTTAAGGGTGGTTGAATTCTACCCTCAAATAGGATAAAGATGAAGAGCTCAAGATAAATGTCACTAGAATATATATCTTGGAGGAAACAAGGTCCAGTGGGGAGGTGGGGGAGATGAAGGGGTGGAAGAGTATCTATGGATTTGCTTTAGCTTTAAATAAGTAGATTATGCTCTGATTTGGAGAAATATTACTTTTTTTTTTCTTCTTCAAAATCCAGGCCCTGATGTTGGGTAATGTTTGCATATTGGCTCCACGACTATTTCCTTCCATGGATTAGTTAATCTCATTTATATATTTGAAAAATAGAAATCAAAAAGCAAAGTGCAGCTTTTAAAAGGTTATTTATAAATTAGATAGTTCAGGTAAAAAATTTAGCACAATACTTAAAATGGAGTCTGAATAAACAATACCTGCGGGATGCCTTTTGAAACATAGGATTCCAATTATCTTTATGAAAGCTCTATTCACTTTGAAAGTTTACCTGTCTCTGTCAGTTATTCAATAATTACAGGTATAAATCATAAATGCTTTCCTTCTAAGGAAACTCCTATACACTTTTCTATTTGAACATTTAAAAATTGTTTTAATTTATATTAAGAAAAAAATCCATTTGATCTTCAGAAAGCAAGGTGACTGTGAAGCACAAAAATAATTCCTAGGTGTCCTTATAATAAAAGAGTGCACAGAATCTATCTTTATAAGATCAACAATTTGATAATTTCCCACCGTTTATGAAGAAAAAAATCAAATCCTACACTCCTACACATTTTGAACCATTTTTTTCTATACAAATACACTTTCACTCCTTTTCCAGGTTCAAGATACTTATATGCTTTCTTTAAAAATGACTAATTTGGGGGTTAATAGCCCATCTCCACTTTAAGTCCTAATATTGATTTTGGTGCCCTAAATATCACCAAGAGTGATCCCTGACCACTGCGACAGGCATAAACACTAAGCACCAGTGGGTGAAGCCCCCAAACCCAAAACACTGTAGCACTGTAGCACTGTCCTCCCATTGTTCATCGATTTGCTCGTGTAGGCACCAGTAACCTCCCCATTGTGAGACTTGTTTTTACTGCTTTTGGCATATCAAATACGTGATGGGGAGCTGGGATACTCTCGGCAGCTTTCCGAGCTTTCCAAGAGCAATCAAACAAAAACAAAATTGTTAATACAGGTGATGCTACTTTTCCATTTAATTCTTTACCTTTCTCTACATCATTCAGGAATATAAACTTAACTCCAGTATTTAAACTCAAATTGAGAAAACAGTTTATAGGTAGGCATGTCTAGAAACAAAAAATTGTTAATATCAAGAGACATTGTATAAAAGGCCTAGTTTAAGTCATTACCCACTCAAAAAATTTTCTAGTGCCTAAACCATTGATATTGAGTAGTTCTTTTAACTGTAGTAAGAAAGCTAATCTTGCTTTCCAATTTACTGATATCGGTCACCATTTTAATTTTCACATTATGGATCAGGAATAATTTCCATTTTTCATTTTATTGCTTTGTAATCTCTGTGGTGAAATTTTAGATTTTCTTGAAATCTTTCTCTTTTTTTTTGTTTTATTTTTATTTTATTGAATCACCATGAGATTTAGTTACAAGCTTTCATGTTTGACTTACAATCAGACAATGATCAAACACCCATCCCTCCACCAGTGCACATTCCCCACCACCAATGTCCCCAGTATACACCCACTTTCCCACCCTCCCCCTGCCTGCGTGGCAGACAATATTCCCCATACTCTTTCTCTACTTTGGGACATTATGGCTTGCAATGCAGATACTGAGAGGTTGTTATGCTTGCTCCTTTAAATTAGTTTCAGCACACATCTCCCATCCCAACTGATTCCTCCAGCCATTTTCTTAGTGATCCCTTCTATATTCCAGCTGCCTTTCCCCCACCTTTCTCCCCTCCCCCCACCCTGCTTCTGAGGTAAGCTTCCAACTGTGGAGCAATCTTTCTGGCCCTTGTATCTACTGTCCTTGGGTGTCAGTCTCGTGTTATGTTATTTTGTACTTCACAAATGAGTGAAATCTTTCTATATCTGTCCCTCTCTTTCTGACTCATTTCACTTAGCATGATACTCTCCATGTCTATCCACTTATAAGCAAATCTCATGACTTCATCTCTCCTAACGGCCGCATAGTATTTCATTGTGTATATGTACCAAAGTCTTTTTTAACCAGTCATCTGTTCTTGGGCACTTGGGTTGTTTCCAGATTTTGGCTATTGTGAACGGTGCTGCAATGAACATATAAGTACGATGTCATTTCTACTGTGCTTTTTGCATCCTCAGGATATATTCCTAGAAGTGGTAATGTGGGGTCATATGGAAGCTCAATTTCTAGTTTTTGAAGGACTGTCCATATTGTTTGAAATCTTTCTTAAAGAAGATAATCTGACCTCATTTCCAAGTAAAAATAAATACAAATATATACAAATATATGACATTAATATACTTATTATAATAATATAATATTATATATTGCTATTATTGGTAAATGCCCAGGATATTCCAGGTAAAGAAACCTTTTAGCCTTAAAACCTAGTCTAAACCTTTTTATAGGACAAAGCAGAATTTACAATAAATGGATTTCTTTTTCCTTGGAGACTTATTTTTGGTAAATGATGGAGCAATAGCACAGTAGTAGGGCATTTGCCTTGCACATGGCCGACTTGGCCAACCCAGGTTCGATTCCTCTGCCCCTCTCGGAGAGTTGGGCAGGCTACTGAGAGTATTTCACCTGCATGGTAAAGCCTAGCAAGCCTGGCAAGTTACCCGTGACATATTCATTATATAAAATATAGTAACAACAAGTCTCACAATGGAGACGTTACTGGGCCTGCTCGAGCAAATCGATGAAAAACAGGAGGACTGTGCTGCTACCATGATGGGCTTTTAAAAGGTCTTGGTCTGGGGAGCTGGTTTAAGGGGGTAAGTATGTTCCTTGCATGTGAAAGACTCCGAAGTTTGATCCCTTGTATTGTATGATCTCCAAGCAACCTCACAATGGCCCTCTGTTCCCCCAGTCCCACTGGGTCCAAGCACTGAACTATCAGATCCATAGTGGGCTGAGTATCACTGAGAGTGTGATCCCAAACACCTCCAAATATCACTGGGGAGGCCTCTATAAAATTAGGTACATTTTTAAAAATCTTAAAAATTCAAGGTATCTCTCAGGTCAGAAGGGATTCCTCAACTAAGAAAATTTGATCTTCATTATGAACATGCAGTCATTTTAGGTTAAAGATGATGAAAAGGCCACTATAGTCAAGAGAGAATCTTTTGATTGAAATTCATGTGCCAGCTCAAAAAGCTAGGAATTGAGCTTCCATATTACCCAGCAATACCAATTCTGGGAATATACCCCAGAACCCCAAAAAACACTGAAGAAAAGCTACCTGCACTTCTATGTTCATTGTAGCACTACTCACAATAACCAGAATCTGGAAACAACTGAGTGTTCAAAAATAGATAACTAGAAAAAGAATCTTTGGTGAAAAAGTATCTTTGGTAGATATACACAGTAGAACACTACAGAGTCACCAGGAAAAATGAAGTCATGAAATTTGCATATATGGACATGGAGAGTATCATGCTGAGGGAAATGAGTCAGAGAGGGAGGGACAGACATAGAATGATCTGACTCATTTGTAGAATATGAAAAAAAAAACATAGTAGGTGATTAATACCCAGGGACAGTAGAAACAAGGGCCAGGAAGAATGGTCCATTTTTGGAAGCTTGCCGCATGTGTTTGGGGGTTGAGGGAGCTAGGATAGAGAAGTGACCACAATGACAAAGGTAGTTGGAAATGACTCTGGACAAGAACTGATGCTTGGAAATAGTTAAAGGGACAAACACGATAACCTTTCAGTACCTGTATTGCAAACCATACTGCCCAAAAGGAGAGAGAGGGGAAGAAACAGATAAATAGAAAGAGACTGACAGAGATAGATAGAAACAGAGAGAGAGTAGAAAAATGTCTGCCATAGGGGCAGGCTGGGTGGAGGTAGTACTATAGGGAAACTGGGGACATTGGTGGTACATTTGTAATATAACTTTGGTGAAGGGAAGAGTGATGGTACATTGTATGACTGAAACCTAATCATAAACAACTTTGTAACTGTGTATCTCATGGTAATTAAAAAAATCAACAAACAAAATAAATCAATCCAAAATAACTCATGACTCAGTATCCTGTAGGAATACAAGAATCTTCATCCTTTCCTTTGCATAGGGGATACTTTCCATCATTCTGAACCATAAAATGGTGTGTATATATGTAATAGGGAATAGTTTAGGATAAAAAATGAAAAATAGTAAATTCCTAAGTAAACAGAAGGTGTATCTTTGTCAGTTTTGTTTGACAACCTGCAGAAAAATTTCAGAAATTAAGAAAAAGAGAGAGAAAGGAGCAGGAAGTGACTCTTTAATTCAGTTATCTATGAACAATTAATCAATCAACATCCTCTGGTTAGGGAGTCATGTTCTAAACATACCTTAACAAGAGAATTATCTCATCAAATATAAGGGAGGGAAAAATAGGAAGCCCACTAATTAAACAGCACATGTCCCATGGTAAAGCTAAGCCACTTACCTTGTTTCTCCTCTTCCAGTTCACTGACAGAGCATTCATCATCTTCATTTTTCCCATTGTCATTTACATCTGATGCTTTCTGTGATGAGGTTTTATTCTCCTTTTCAGTATCTAAGTGATCTTTTTCATCATCTGAGGGTGAATCTGGCATTCCATTCCTTTGATTACCGGTTTGTCTTTCCCTACTAGTTTTCGCATTTTGTTTCTCCTCATCTAGTTCAAAATCTTCTTCATAATCTGAGAAAAAGACAAAATTCCACTATGAGAAGGAATACGGTATTTTCTATTACTTAATCATTTCACTTTAATGAGAACTTTGACTCTATTATCCTCTCTTCTCTAGGCCTTTCTTCATTTCTTTTTCACACAATTAGTGAACATGGGAAACTAACAGAAAATGATCAAAGACTGCAATCAGTTACATATACCAGAGCATAAAGAAATGAAACTCCAAATGACAAGCCTGAAACCTCATAAGGTTCCATTTGTAAACGGACATCGTTATATACACTAACCACAATGGACAAGAGAAGAACTTGATATAAAACAAGAAATTAGAAATAAATTAAAAATGAAGAGAACAGGATTACAATAATGAAAGTTAATTTTGAGACCCAGTGAGGTCATTTTTCATATGAAGACTGTTCAAAATATTTGGCTATCAAGCTAATGAATAGTGAAGTGGAAAAATTAAATTAATCAAGTCCAAAGACCCTGAGAAGTAACACTGTGAATAGCACATTCTTTGAGAACCAAATGGACATCAAGAAAAAGCATTATGAAGGATTCTATACCTAAGTCAGAACTGAAATCATATGCATTATTCATCCTTACAATCAATGAAATAATTATATTCCAAGGATAAAATTATCATAAAATAGAATATTCCTGTCACGGCCACTAATTTGCTTCATTCCCTACAGAGGTGCAACAAATCTGTAGCAGAAAAAGAAAATTGTCACATCAGATAAACTCCAGCTGTCCCTCGTGGTTATAATTTTTCACCTTTCATATTTAATTGTTCCCCCTTTTCTTCCACCAAAAACAAAAAAATCATGGAGTGACAACATGCCAAGGAGAGGGAACAAAAAGATTTCATGCAGAACCAATTAAGCAAATAAACAATTATCTTTAAAAATTACAGGGAAAATAAGATTTTTCCCATTTTTGAATGTTTTAGTTATTAGATATTCTGGCCTTCTATTCTAGTGGTGGGGGTCTCTGGGTTAATTACTTGAGAGCAGTCCACCCTGCTACAATGAAAGAAACTTAATTTAAAAATGCATGCCTTGTGCATATGAAGAAAGCTCTGCTAATGCAGAGAATGTTTGAGGGAGATGTAAGAGGAAAGTGAAATCAGCAACTGTAACGAAGAAAGCCAAATGGAATTCATTACAAGGATATTTTCATGAGATTTAATATAAGACGCAATAAATGCAACTTATCAGTAAAACAACATTAGAAATAAGGTGAAGAAATTTGATTTTACTGCATGATACAAACATTGATTCAAATATTTCAGGTCAATAATAGGCTCCCCACTTGGCCCATTTAGCTTCATTTCTTTGTGCTCTGGTATATATGACTAATTGCAGAAGTTCTTGTTGAGAACTCACTGTGTTTAAGATGGAAATTTTAAAGATGTAAATAGTGGTTAAATATGGTACTCGGGTGGTAGGCAGAGGGTGACAACATACATTTTGAAGAGGTGTGTACTTATACCCCTAAAACACATGCAATTTCATAACCTTACTACACACACACACACACACACACACACACACACACACACACACACATTACAATAACAAAACTCCTTTTATCCAAGAATCTCTATTTATTTGTGAAGGAAATAAAACAGGCATACAGGATATACTATACCATTTTCTAAGTTTTTCTCTCCTTTTTAAATTTTCAGTTATAATGCATTGTTTAAAAGAAGAAAGGAAGGAAAAAGAGCAAGAAAGTTGGCTGCAGATCTGAGGAAATATAGAAAAAAGGGGGAAAAGAGAAAAGTAAGAGGATCACAAGTTGGGGGAAAATCCAGTGGCCTCTAACTTTTTCTCAAATGTAGGAGTACTGCTATTTATTCAGCCACTGATTAGCTGATTGAATTGGGCATGAACTCCACCTTACTTTTTTTTCTTTCATAATTTTATTTATTTTTTTTCTTCTTATATTTATTTATTGAATCACTGTGGGAAAAGTAACAAAGCATTCAGGTTTAAATCTCGGTCATACAATGATCAAACACCTTTCCCTTCACTAGTACTCATTTTTCACCACCAAAAAACCCCAATATACCCCCCTCCTACCCCTCCCAATGCCTGTGAGGCAGATGATTTCTACTTAACTCTTCTCTATATTGATTACATTCATTATTTCGACAAAAGATGCATCATTATTGTTTAGAATTCCCCCCCCCCAACAATCAGAATTGCTGAAAAGGCATTGTGAAATACTTTGTTTTCTATAGCTGGTATGAGAATCATATAATGTCATATAATGATTTTAGATTTCTGCAAAGAGCCATTCACTTTTCTGCCGCAAGCTTTCGGGCTCTGGACTAAGTCCTTTTGCCTCTGGAGCCATGTTCGTGCCAGAGAGCCGCTCATGGGGGACAACTCCTGACCATGGTAGGGCATGAAGGATGAGCCGGTATTGTTCCCCTTCCCTTGAGACTGCAGTTGCCCCGTCACCACCGGCTTATACCTGACTTTCCAACAAGCTCTGAGGTGGTAGCCACCTTGTATGTGGTCCACATGTATTTCTCCCAAAAGTCGCTGGGTTTTGAGATTTGTTTCTGAGTCTCTGGGATCATGGCCGTTAATCTGCTTGATCAGGAGCTAGAGAGGCCGTTTGTAGGCAGCAACTTGGGGGTCTCGTTGGGATGGGGAGGAAAGGGCCAGTTCCACCCCCATCTGGTGAAACCCCACGTGTATTGTCACTGCAGGCCCAAACCTGACTGTCCTGTGGCCTCTGGAGGATGGCAGTCACTGGGCCACCAGGGGGAACAGGCCAAGGCACGAAACCTATTCCCACCTGGAGTGGTCCAGCGCCAGTAACCTACTGCAGGAACAGGACGCATTTCTGCCAAAAACCTTTGGGTTCCGAGATTTGTTTCTGAGTCTCTGGGATCATGGCCGTTAAGCAGTTTGATCAGGATCCAGAGAGGCCATGATTCCAATTATATAGCTGAGCCAGAGGTGGTTTCTGGGTGTGTCTCCCACATACCTAACTTTTGGCCTTTTACTTTCTTGGTAAACTTTGCCCCAAGTTTTTGGGGTCTGGCCAAAGGCACAGCAGCAATTTTGGGGTATCTGAAAGTCTGACAGTGCCATCACATCATCTGACGGTGATGAACTCTCCTCACAGGTACAGATTGACCTGCTGGCAGCACCATACCCCCTCTAACTTTTTTTTAACTCAACAAGTTATGGTTTTCTTATTGTAGTTCCTTCTCCTGTCCATTGATCCCTTTACTTCCTCTAAAGTTTTAATCTTAATTTTCAAAATATTCCATTAATTCTGCTGAATCTTGTCATGTTTGTCAACTCATCTCGTTCTTTTTGTTGGGCTTCTTTGATCTGCACAAGTCACCACAGACATGATCCTTGGAGTACTCTCTGCCTATAATTATTGGAGTCTGATTTCTTCATGCAATTTACTTTAGGGTCATTTTTCAGAGTCAGAGCAGATGGCTCTGCTTCTCAATTTCAGGCATCCTCAAAATATATTCAAGTCATTCTCTCCTGAATCATCAAATGCTACATAACAGCACAGATCTTTACTGGTCATCTAATTCCTATGAAAAATATATTGATCATTAGATGTTTCATATTTTGATAGCCATATTTTGGTAGTTCTTCCTTACTGATCTAACAAGTAGTCCCATGAGTAAAAAAAACCACATACCCCTGTAGGTATTTTCAATGATGCAGGCTTACAGAAAAGCCCTATTTAGCCTAATATTTTCTTTTCTTTTTCTTTTTTTTTTTACAAGATCCTCAATAACATTCATTTCAATATTACTAAGCTTTATAGTTATAGATTTTTTACAAAGAATTTATTATTTCATATAGGACTCATATGAGAAAGCATCAAATAAATGAAAAAGAATTGAAAGAGGATGAGAAACCATGTAGTAGATGATACATACAAGAGTTGAGACTAGCCAAAAAATAAATAAACATAGGAATGTAAATATATCACCCTAAATATAAAATATATTTTACTGATCACAAGATCCACTGCAGGACCCAGAACATAAATTTCTAATTCCATCAATACTATCACATACTTGTGAAATGTGATTGTTTAAGAGTTTAGTAGTCTTGTGCCCAAGTCACAGTAAAAATACTTCCTATGTGTGTGCCTTTAAGCAATATGCTTAACATCTTTAATATTGCTTTATTCATCTATCACACAGGTAGAATCTTCCTCACAATAAAGCAATAATCCCTGAAAATGCCATGGACAGAGTATCTGCCTAAAAAATACTATGGATTAGTAGAATCAAAGATTGTATATTGGGGGTGTCCGAGCTGGTTATAGAACAGAATTTACACACAAGAAGTGTTCAGTTATAAACTTTAATGAAATCACCTGGCTAAAATCAAAGATTTAGGAGGTGTCAACAATTAGGACACCGTTATAGTTATGCTATTAAAACAGAGCATAAAGTAGAATGGTTTTTGCATCTTATTTAGCAAGCGTGTATGTGTTTTCTCACAAAATATAAAATTCAAGTTACCCCTGGTATTTTTCTAACCCCCCACTATCATAACATGTAAATTTGAGCTCTCTATTAACCAAAAGCAGTCTATTCACATTGCAACTTAATGCCTGCCACCTTCATGAGGGCGACTCATGTTCCACTATAAGTGTACAGGCAGCATGCTTTCTGAACTCCTTTCCTTGATGTCTTGTTTCATCTCACCTTCTTTCTTCTAGAGAATTTAATTAGTTTGTTGTTTATCATTCCCACTAATGAGCAAGTGAATCAACACAAGGTCAACATCAAACCATGTGCAACCCTCCCTCGCTGACCTCCACTCAAGCTTCCTGTTGCCCTTACCATCAGTAGCTGTTATGAAAAGCTGGAGCCTCGCTGCTTCTAATTTTTCTTAAAAAAAAAAAAAAAGATGGAAATGGAAACTTGAAATCCATTACCTAGCCAACACACAGAAGAATGATGAAGGGGGAAAAATACTATATTATAAAGCATAGAGTATGCCATTCATAGAGTACACACTGGCCATGTTGATTTAAGAAAAAATTAAAATAAAGAAAATGAAAAGCTCCTATTGACTATGGCTTTAGTAAACTTACACATCTTGAAAATTAAAATGCATGAGAATATATTCTATTGTCAAACCCTCTACTACTACTTTTGCTATGGATATTTTTAAATCCTTAGTCTAAGATAAGAATAAATACTAGAAGAGATCAAAGAGAGATAAACTAGGTCAAAGTGTTATGAAGTAAAATCTTTTTTTAAGGCAGAAGTAATAAAGAGAAAGCCCCAATGTGATAACAGCTCCCTAATTATTCTCCTAGGTTTCCGAAACCCTTGAGAAGCAACAGAAGGGAGTGAGGAAGAATGAAATCAGAATGTGCCCCCATTCTGATGTTTTCTTGGATATATCGTGAGTGGTACAAGTTTTTAGCTACTGCTCTGTAATTTAGACTTGGTCTCTGTGATGTAAAAGAAACACTTATGCAGCGCTCTCCTTCTGACCCCACAATCTGGAAACATCAAGGATGCCTTTCACAGAATAAAAGATTAGAAACTGTTTGTTAGTCTGGACTTCAGCATTAGAGAAGACTGGCTATTGATGGGATGCATGATAGACCACTTCAAATATTGTTTGGTCACAAGGATTACCAGCAGAAAACAGCAAAGCTCTTGCCCTCTCCTTATATGTCTGAAAATAGTATTCAAATTTGTAAAGGTGCCTTCTCTTTCCCTTTCTACCAGAAAGGACCAGTTTATTATAGGAGACAATTCTATACCCATTGAAGGCTCTTGAGTTAGGCCTGCATTCCTCTAGGTAGGTGATGGAGGACTCCATAGAAAGAGTGGGGGAAAAAGTGATCAAGTGATCAAAGATTTCCCACATGTGTTGTCTAAAGACCATGACTGAGTCACAGCAGTTAGTGGATGCTTGATAATCGCATTTTAAAAACATCAAACAGCAGCAAAAGCAGCAAAAGAACCCTGTGTGATCCCTTACCATATTTAAATATATGTTCCTGTTCATCTTCCCAAATATCTTGTCCTGGTTTTCCTTTGCGTTCCAATTCTTCCACAGCGGTTCTCACTTCTCTAATGCCTGTTGATTCTTCATGAACTGAATATATGGCTGGAGCATTTCTACTCCCTTCAACCTCATTCTTTTTTGATTTCATGAGCTCTCTAACCTTCCTCAGTTTTCGGTCACTCTTCTTTAGTTCTTCTCTTTTCTCAAGACTCTTTTCTTTTCTAGGTTTTAATGGATTTGCCTTTTTGTCAAGACCCATTGCAATAATGCACCTATGAAAATTAATAACATTGGGTGGGATTAACTTTTATGTAAATCACAGAAGATGCTCCAAATTTTTTAAATTATCTCTTAATACCATGAGAAATGCTGCAAGAAATATATTTACTACAATATAGTTAATGAAAAGTAAACAGTTTTCTCTTTATCAATACTAAAATCTTATAGAACACAACACATTTTTAATAATTTTGTCCTAAATAATAAAAGAAGAAAAAGCTTAACAAACTAGTGTCTCAAACTAAAATTTAAACTTACAGCACAATTTTGACTGTGCAACAAAATTATATATACATAACAGTAATATATATAGTACACATGGATAATGCAATATGTGTGATATGTACATGTATGTAATTATATACTAATTTAAGCTTTTAAGTGAGAGTGACAGAAGAATTTTCAGATTCATAAGCACAGGAAAACTGAAATAAAATGATCAAAAGGAGAATTGTGCCATTTAGTATTTCATGACTTGTTATTCCAACACAACAAAAGATTTTATTACAAGGGTGACTCTAAATTAATATAATTGATTGGGAAGTTTGGGGTCACACCTGTCTGTGCTCAGAGCTTATCCTGGTATGCTGGGGTCATTCCTGGTTATCCAGAGATCAAATGAGGGTCTCTTCATGCCAAGCAAGTTCCTAAACTCCAGTACTATCTCTCTGGCCCAGTATGATTGATTTTTAAAAGAAATATGTAGTAAAACATTATTTTGTTGTCCATTGTATGCAAGCTTATTCTAATAGATCTGTCATTATTACTTTTAGAATGGCCTTTTGAAGTTTATACCCAAGCTTTTGCTGGTTCCTTGATAACTATAACTTTTTGCTCTTTAAAGATGACAATATTTCAGTAGTCATAAAGTCTTTTTAATGTCAACTCTAATCAACTATGCAGATGCTTTGAATGTAAGGACATAAAAATATTTTAATTAGAAAAAACTAGCATGCCTAAATTCCTCTATAGTTTTTCAATCCCTCAAGTTAATATGTAAATAAAAATTCAAATGTTATTTGAAACACTTGTGTAAATTAAAATAAAAAAACAATAAACAAGGCCCCCCCGTTGATCGTTGATTTGCTCGAGCGGGCCCAGTAACATCTCCATTGGAGACTTTGTTGTTACTGTGTTTGGCATATCAAATACTCTCGGTAGCTTGCCGGGCTCTCTAAGAGGGGCGGAGGAATCGAACTCGGGTCAGCCATGTTGGCCGCTTGTAAGGCGAACACCCTACCGCTGTGCTATCGTTCCTTCGATAGCTCAGCTGGTAGAGCGGAGGACTGTAGACTGTGTAAATTAAAATTATTATTATAAGATTATTGAATCTTCCCTGTGTGCCAAACTTTTTGTTAGCTACTTTGTATATATATATTTATATATTTATATAATATATATATGTATACACACATATATATGAAAGAATTCATTACCTTACAGGCAAATAAATGAAGAACTATTCTTACTACTTTAAAATTGAAGAAACTGAGACTGACACATTTTCATGCCTTGTCCAAGCTGACCTAACAGTAAAAGATGGAGGCAGATTCAAGCTCAGGATGTTTAGACTCTATCCCCTTACAAGGAAGTATAACTATGATGTTAGGTAAGAGGGAGAGCACTCCCAGCCCTTTCTTACTTCTAGGGAGAATATGCAGTCACTTCACCAGAAATAAATACAACCTGAAGTTGTTTTCTCCAAAGCCTAAGGACAATCTAACCTGAAAAAAGTGCCTGGCAGTTGTGAGTCTCCACACTCTGCCTCTAGAACTACATGGCTATTTTTCTTTGTGTTAATTAACTTTTGGCTATTGGGAAACTGAATCAGAGTGGGCAGGAGAAAAAGGACCAGAATGCAGTCAAGACTTGTCAATCCAGGAATAGAAAAACTATGAAAAATCTAAAAAATGCTTCAAAATTAGAGAAATTCACTGCAAATCTAAAACTAGAAAACTAAAGATTTCTTTGAATTTCAGCCACTACCAATCTAGGAACAATTCATAAATTGATCTTAATTCCTCCAACAAGCAACTATGAGAACCTAGGTATAAGCATTTTTTATTATATCCCCATAAAATATAGTTTAAAGGATTTGCATTCAAGTATTAGACATGAAAAAATTAGATTACAAGAACACACATAGTAAGCATGATAAATATTTCTTGACTATAATGATGATGTACTTAGCACATTACTTTCCTTGAAATAAAATTATCATGAACCTTCACAGGATGTCATTACTAGCATTGCCTTCTGCTCAAGCTATTCTTCCTTTATCAATGACAACTACAAATTTATCAATGTGGATACTCTGATATGCTGTTACCTTTAGTTTATGCTGTGCCTGTGTAAAGACTTTGATCTCTCCCTATTGCATGCACAGACTTTTTACTGCCCATCTGCTTTAGGGAATTGGACAAAGAAAGTGAGTAACATCTGTGCTCTTCCCATCACTGACTACCTATTTGACTTCTGAGTATAATTAGAGGTGTTGATTCTGATTACAAAAGCTCAAAGTGGCCTGCATTCTTCTTGGTTAGGCAATTCGTCCTCCCTTTCATTCTAGCAGCTGAAAATGACTACCATCTCTCTCCGAACATCTCCCATGATTGAAAGATGGGTACAATTGGCTCCACATATTGTGATTGAACGCTACTGAGTTTGGGGTCTTGTCTTATTTTTCAATCTTTTAATTTTTATGCCACATCCGGTATGCTTAGGGCTTTGCACTAAGGGATCACTCCTGGCAAGGCTCAGAGGACCATATGTGGTGCTGGATAATACCATAATCAAACCTAATTGGGCAGATGCAAAGTAAACACCCTATCCACTGTACTATAATTCTGCCCCCCAAGATTTTGTTTTATGAGAACCTTTAAAGAGTTAACTCCAAATCATTTTTAGAAATCTATCCATTATTTTATTATTTCCTTTTCATAATAAAAATTCTAGAAATCCAAAGAATTAAAAATAATTTAATTTTTAACAAAGAGAAAAATTAATGCACAGCCCTCAAAATGACAATATAGTGTGGAAGTGAAAATTTTAAAAAATAAAGTTTAAGCAATCTAATGAATGACCTCAGTTTCCTTGGTGGTAGTTCTCAACTATTATGAAGTTTTTTGCATTTAAGGAATAATTAGAATAGTCACAAGTGGTGTAGACATATAAGCTGGACTCTAACACTGACATATCCATCATCCCTGTACTTATTTAAACTAGTGTGCCTTGGTATTTACCTGATTCACAGCAGGATGACATTTATTTGTGCAATGATATTCTATTTTGGGACTTCACAGATTTTAGGCATTAGAAGAAATTATTATAAAACAAAGAGCTGTGCATTTCAGTTGAGCTTAATACAACTTATGCTTTTAACAGCAAAACTTTTTTTTTATTGTTCAAAAAATATTCTAAAGGAAACCAAGTGAAATTTAATAAAGAATTGTTTAGAAGCCATTATATGAAGTAGAAAAATAGATGACATTATGAGATTTTTTGTACGGATCATTATTAAATCATACGAAAGGTTTTTGATAAGATATATATAGCTTACATTTATATAGCAACTATAAAAAAGGCAATGTATGTGCTCATTAACTTTCTTGATATTAAATAGAAATATGTTAAATAGCTTGCCCTCAAATATGGAAAAAGCATGTGATTTGGAATAAGACGGTAACTTCTGGTAGTTCCTAAGTACACCTGGGTGCTTCTATTGTAGTCTCTTCACTTTCACTTACTACATCACACTTTCACATCTTTCCTAAACCTGCAAATTTCTCACTCTTGATCATAAAATTATCTGATAAGTTCTTTTTTAACAGAATAGACATAAAATATTAGTAGGGAACTTTCAATTGGTTCCAACATACCTACCAACTTACATCTCTCTATGTGCCATCTTCTCTCCCTTCCTGTTCCTACAGAAAAACTAGTTCCTGCTGTAAGGCTAATGTTTCCTCTTGAGCCTGAGATCCCAACTCACTACTATTCAAATTTTTTGTCCCAGCCATATCTCCCTATTCCACACTTGTTTTTTTTCTCCTAAGGTATTTATTAGCACATAACTTCACTAAACCACCTTCCATCTTACAATATAAAATGCCCCATAGACTCCTGCATGCTATTTCCTAGGTATCACCCAATTTTCGTCCTTTAGAGAAAGACTCTTTACAAAGGAATTCTCTATATTGACTTGCCATAACGCTTTAATCATTTCTCAGACCTACTAATCAACCTAGCATTCCTCCAGGATAGTAGACATTCTATTAAATTTGTGCTGATATTACAAATAACCTACACATTGTAAATCAATGCTCAATACTCAGCATTCATTTGACTTCATTTATTCACATTCATGTCCAACAATTATTTCCTCATTCTTTGAACATTTTCTAATTTCTTCTTCAAAAATGTATATATTTCTCTGGGTTGTCCTCATCACTGGTTTTCCTTTCTTGAATTTTTGCTGGTTTCTCTTTATCTCCCTCCATTTTAAAACTAGAGGGATGCTAAGCAGTATTCAGGCATCATCTCTATCTCTATTCAGTTCTTAGGTAAACTAATCCAGTTATACGGCTTTAAATGCTATCTATTGATAAATCTTTTTTCAAATTTATATCTCTATCCTGGGATTTATCACTGGGTCCCAGATTCACCTAATCCACTGCCTATTCAACATCTCTGATTGATGTCTCAAACTCAATGTGTTCAAACCCAAAATCCCTTTGTTTCATCCCCCAATCTAGTTTTTCCACAATATTCTCCATCTTAGTATAGACTAACTAGATATTATTCTAGTCATTCAAACTAAGAATGACACAATCATCTTTGACTCTGCTCTTTATCTCATACCATCAATAAATGCTGTAAACTCTACTTTGAAAATATGTGAGGAAAGCAAACATCGAATTCTATCACTCTTTCACATATGAATCAGTCATTTCTGCCCTTCCATCTATATCACTTGCTAAGTTTTCCCCCACAAGGAGCTAGATTCAGATTATGACAGGTCACTGCCCCAGATCTATTTTAGAGATGTTGCATCCCTCTCAGAATAAAATTCAAAGTTCTTTCAATAACCAAAGGACTCTACATAAGTTTGCCCCTCTGTTTCTCTGACCTCATTTTCTTCCATTAGTTCATTCCTTACTCTCGCTCTTGCTAGTGTCTTAGATACAGCAAGCATATTTGTGCCTCAAGCACTTTATATATGCTTTCCTCTACATAAAAATATGTTTGGGAGAGGAGACATATTTTCCTTTTTTTGCTCAAAAGACATCAGAGAAGCTTTTTCTGATTATCCTACATGAAATAATATTGCCATTTACCTCATATATCCATTTACTCCCTAGATCTTCCTTACCCTACACTTTGTATCCATCACTATTCAATAATTGGTTTATTGGCATATGATTGCCCTTCTCTCATTGGCATGGACTCCATGGAGGCTGGTAAGTTTAGTTGTTTCACTCCTATGTTTCTGCTTGACAGTTTCAATTCTGCATGCACTTTTGGAGGGGGGTGAGGGTGGGAAAACAAAACTAAAAAAAAACCTGAAAGCAAGCTACTACAAATAGGACATCCAGTGTGAAAACTTTTTTTTCAAAAATGAAAAAAATATTAAAAACAATTAGAACTAACATTTTAGTATACATTTTATTAAGCCTGAGTTTAAAAATAAGGGGCCAGAGAGATATACAGCAGGTAGGGCATTTGCCTTGCATGCGGCTGATGCGGTTTCAATTCCCACCATCCACATGGTCCCCCAAGCACCCCCAGCAGTAATTCCTGAGCGCAGAGACAGAAGTAAGACCTAAGCATCGCAGGGTGTGACCCAAAAAAGAAAAAAAATAACAACAATAAAATAAGGCACAAGAATCATATTCGGGTTGTATGTTAATGAAGGGACCCCTTTATATGCATAACCTGCATTATCCAATCATGTAGTTTAGATTCTTTGTATAAACTAGCTTTGAGGCTCAACCCCAAACCAGTTACTAAGAGGACAGAAAAAATGAGAAAAAACAGTAGATCTTTTTCCTTCTCTTTAGAAACTGAACTTAAAGAAAAAGGAAAGATAGAGAAATAGAATTTGAATACTCTAATTTTATAATATCTGAAAATATAATTAATAAATTTTAATTTCAAATATAATACAAAGAGTAATAATAAAAATCTTTTACTTAGATATTCTAGGTTCATTGATGGATACCTTGAAACAAATTGTACAGAGAAATACATCAGTAAAACTGTAAGAGGAAAGATATAGCAAAACCTGCCCTCTACCAAAAGACATTCGTTTTCATACTTGTAGCAAGGAGATGATCTCTCGACACACACAAACCCAAAGTAGCCTCGTTTTCCTCCTAGTCTGGAACCTTTTCGGTGTTTAAATTCACAGCAGGAGCTTAACCTGTTCACCTGAATTCCATTTAGGAAAAAGGTGAGGCTGAAGGGGAAACCATGGTGTCTTTTGGAAACAAATTGAAATGTCTCTGGAATTAAAAAGGAAATACATTAGTTAAAGCATTGTCTATAGACTAATAGGTTTTAAATGAAGTTTTTTTTTAAAGAAATTAGATAAGCACAATATTATAGTCTAGATCTTACAGTCTTTTCCGTTTGTAACCCTTTTTCATCCCAAATTTTTTTTTTCTTACACAACCCCAGGTACATAAGATAGGTATTAAAACCCAGTATATACTAATAATAAATCATAGAATAATTTTTAAACTATTTTTATAAACTTACATTTAGGGCTGGAGTGATAGCACAAGCGGGTAGGCCGTTCACCTTACACGCGGCCAACATGGCCGACCCGAGTTCGATTCCTCTGCCCCTCTCGGAGAGCCTGGCAAGCTACCGAGAGTATTCGATATGCCAGACACAGTAACAACAAAGTCTCCAATGGAGACGTTACTGGGCCCGCTCGAGCAAATCAACGATCAACGGGAGGGTCTTTACCTTTTACATTTAGGTCCATGACCCTACAAAGCCCAGGCAGCACATGCTTCCACACCTCAAAGCCACCTCCATGCCTTTGGCCAAACTCCATTGCCTCAAGATTCCTGAGCCTCACAGTGAACTTAACCCAGTTGAAACCTCAGGTATACAGGTCTCTGTGGCTGGAAGTTCTGTTCAGCCACAGAAAGTTCTTCTAGGAACTGGGATGGGCTACCTTCCCCCACACTCCATACTTCCCCAAGTCATGTCAGTCACGCCCATGAACCATCTCCACTGCCATGTAAACTCAGAATTAAAGAAATTAACTCCAGCTAGACTGACCAGTTAAAAACTCTGGATTTTCTGACGCAAAATCTCCAAAATCTACAACAACTTAGAGTAGCACACCAGATTGGATGAGATGTAATGTAGAAGCCAAACAATATTGACTAAAAAAAAATTAACACAGAAGCTTAACTTATAACTTAAGTAATCTTAGTAATCTCTCAAAGACTTAATATTCACATGGTGCAATATAATTTTCACTAATTTTCTTCCAAGGAAATATATTCTGATCATCTGTTAGCCATTTCTGGGTGACAAGCAATATAAAATTAATTATCATGAGCCTGCCACAGCAGCAGGCTTGAGGAATGGCTGGCAAAATGGAGACAATAGTGAGGGTAGGTGACAGTGGTGGTGGGATTGGTGCTGAAATATTGAATGCCTGTAACAAATCATCATAAACAACTTGTAAACTATGTATTTGAATGAAGTATGAAGGGAAAAGACAACAAAAAAACTTTGATCAAGATGTTTGCTCTACTCCATGAGAACTGTCACTGTCACTGTCACTGTCCTCCCATTGTTCATCAATTTGCTTGAGTAGGCCCAGTAATGTCTCCATTGTGACACTTGTTACTGTGTTTCGCATATTGAATACATCACAGATAGCTTGCCAGGCTTTGCCATGTGGGCGAGATACTCTTGGTAGCTTCCTGGGCTCTCCAAGAGAGGGGGAGGAATCAAACCTAGGTTAGCCATGTCAGCTGCATGCAAGGCAAATCCCTACCTGCTGTGCTATCACTCCAACCCCATGAGAACTAAAAGTATTAATAATGTTCATTTCCCCATAGGCTGAGAATGAACCAGAGGATCCTCACTAATGAAATTGTTTTCATGTTTCTTTTAGGCATCTAGAAATACTATCTTTATACCATATTGTAGAACTGTAGCACTGTAGCACTGTTCTCCCATTGTTCATTGATTTGCTCAAGCGGGCACCAGTAACATCTCACAACAAATTGTGAGACTTGTTGTTACTGTTTTTGGCATATCAAATACACCACAAGTATCTTGCCAGGCTCTGCCATGGCAGGTGAGATACTCTCGGTAGCTTGCTGGGCTCTCCGAGAGGGACAGAGGAATCAAACCCAGGTCAGCCATGTGCAAGGCAAATGCCCTACTCACTGTACTATTGCTCCAGCCCATCATCAGAATAGTTGATAAAAACTAAAAAAACAATTTGGCTCTACCAACACCCCTCTATTGCAATTTAACAAAACACATCTCCAAGATGAACATCTGAAAAAGTATCCTTGAAACTCTATGGAAATGCAGTTAAAAGAAAAAGTAGTCTCATTGAAACAAAAATTAAAAGGGCCAAAATGAAAACAATTCGCCAAACCAAGTATTCAGTGGAATACTGAAGAAATGAAATACCATTGGTAAATGAAAATAGTGTAACAACTTTGGATCATTATTTCTATGTTCTGCAAAAATTAAACATTCATCTACCTTGTGACTCAGATACTACACTCTACATTATTGACCAAAGATAGAGTCCTCTAAAGAGACAAAATTAAAAAAAAAAAACTGAAAGAAAAAGCTTAACATAAATAGCAAAATGTTTGCACCAGCTTTAAAATACTCAAAATTTAAAATATACCAAACACCATAAAAAGTGTGAACTGATAACTTAAGCATGGCATACACTAAATTTAGGAATATTATTCAAAACCAATGAAAAAATGGCTACTGGCTAGGGAAGCAATACAGTATTTGTGTCCATGCTTCATGTCTGACAGTCTTGGATTTGATCCCCAGCAAGGCATCCCTGAGCAACACCTGGAACAACCAATGACCCCCGCTAAGAGTGACAAGTATTCAGCCAGGAATACCCCAGCACCCACATGAGACACTGAAATGAGGATTCACAACAAAAAGAGCTCATTAGGATGAATAAGGCTTTGACATAAAAAAAAAATAATAATTCCAATCATGAATTAAAGAAAGTGAGAAAGTAAAACAATGATTTTATGAATTAGTGGGATGAGCAAGAACATAAGTAAATAGACCTTGACAAATATTGTCATTATATGGACTTAATCAAGATTCAAATTTTATTTATTCCAGCTTTGGGGCCACACCTGGTGGTAATCAGAATATATTCTTTGATCCGTGTTTAGGAGTAACACCAAAAAGAACTCATGGGACCATGTAGTGTGCCTGGAATTCAAACAGGGGTCAGAACGCATGCAGGGCAGTAAACCTACCTTCTATCATCTTTCTCGGCCTTGAATTCAAGTTATACCATACTATGCCCTTAAATTAGATGTAACTTTTACTAAATAGACTTATTTATCATTCAGTGCCATAATTTATATCTTAATATTTGTATGGTAAATTTAAACTAGGAAAGCAAAAACTGGAAAGTTATCATAGGTGAAAACTAAGACATAATAGATTTTAAAATCCCTTTTACTATAAGCTGACTATGAAGTGGAGACTAGATACTTAGCTTGCCTACTGTCATCACAGAAATTTGTATGATCCATTCTGTTGCATCTCAAACCCTATAAGTTTCTATTACCAGACCAGGAAATATATGCCATCAAGGAAATGTAGAGCCTAGGAACAGAAGGTCAATATAGAGATATGACTACACTTTCACTTGATAGCCATGTGACTGGAAAACACTTCCACCCATTGGAAAACACATCCTTCCCTCCTTCCATCTCTTCCTCCCTCTTTTTACTTTGTTCTCTTCTCTCCTTCCTTTCCCCAAGCATATTAAACAAGAACTAAAACCTTTTGTTTTTATTTTTTTGTTAACCTATTTTGCAATTTTTTATTTCAGTATTTTCTAGCTCTTCCCTGTCCTGACTTAATGGTAGCCGAATTAAGTAGAGGAAGGAACATAGATTAGAGGTCAAAAGATTTTAGCCTGTGCTCCATTTCTGCATTTATTAAGCAAGAATTCCTCATTAAATCATTGATATTTGTTGCACGTCACATTGAGATGGCAGGAGGAGGGGGCAACAGTTGGAGGCGAGCAGGAGGGACACCCCAGTCTGCCCGCTATCATACTGTGATATTAAAGATCATATCACGTATTAGAAATTTTATATTAACTCATATCAATATTAGAAAGCATAAAGGAAAAACACCAAATTCTGTCCCTTTAAAATCTGTCTCAGAAAATAGAACAGAATTAAAACAAACTAAATTTCAGTGAGTCCAGAAAAATTATAAACTTTTGGTAAGAATTGTGGGAAACTGTGGCATGCTTTCCAAGGGGCAAAGTTCATTCCCTCCTTTCCCTCACCTTACACTATTTTCAACACAGTATTTTATGTTATAGCAGGGCAAATGCCATGAACAACCATCACCATTAGTGGGAAGTAGTTTGATTTACAGCAAAGAATGAAAACAACCTTCACCAGTGACAAAATGAGTAGTAAGCAGTAATTTGAGAGATAAACACAAGGCCAGAGGTTCTGCTACCTAAGACTATAGTTCCAGAGCAAACAAATAGTAGCAGGGGAATAGCCAGAAATTTAACTGGGAGATACAAGCAATAAAACAGTTGCCAATACATTCCATAAACTATACATTATCCAATAACTTCAAAGTGGCATTTAGTAGAATAAACCCAAGAGCTTGCACCTAAGAATAAAGTAAACACCAAAGAGTCTGGTGAAAAACAAAGGTTCAACTAATTTGAAAACTGCCTGGACCTTGAATGTACTCCTGAACCCTCCATGGTACTTTGAATATTTGCATCTAAAATTTGTAAACATCCGCTGCCTCTGAATGTGACATTTTTGCCAAAAGAAGTGCCTTTGTAAATACAAACAGTGAAGGCTCAAGATGAGATCATCCTGAATTTGTTTGAAAGGACATTGGGACACATGGAGTATAACCTCATGTGAAGAAGGCAGACACTAGAGTCACAACACACCAAGAAATTCTGGGAATCACCATGTGTTACAAGAGGCAAGGAAAGAATCTCCATTAGATGAACACACTGTTCTATTAACACTTTGGTTTTACATTTTTGGCTTCCAGAACTATTATTTTAAGCTGCCAGTGTGGGGGCTATATTTGTAATGACAGCCCCAGAAAACTGAAACACTCACAGATTCCTTGGCAGAAGGTGGTGACTTACTGTCTCAGTATCTGAACACAAAATCTGAGAAATCATTAGATAAGCACTAAAAAGTACTAAAGCACTAACAAAATTAAAATACAAACAGATATATTACTTATC